AGAATATGTCATACGTGTTTCAAAATTTATACTCCAATTTTACCCTCAATGGTCCTTATGTATATCTCTTATGAAATCACTTCAGTGCTACAACTTTAGTGGCCAATAACTTAACAGAAATTAGCTTTTATGGAGCTCTATATTGTAAAAAAACAAGGGGTAAATATTATTGGGATTATAGTTATCTGGTGTACCAAAGCTTCCCTACTAATATTACTAACAAAGTGAGTTAGGGACTTAATCCTGCTTTCATTTATGCATGTGTAAACGTATTTCATTTTTTATAGATTCTTGCTGATTACAAAACATATTGGACATGTGTAACAGAGGAAACAGATGTTATATTTGAAGATAACAGCACAGCAATAACCCTTAATCTACCATCAAATCAAAACTGGGATATAATGGGAAAAACATCACCACTTATTGTAAGTTGAAGAAAGTTGTGGGTATACTTTAAATTTGTGGGTATACTTTAAATAGTATTACAAAGACTACATAAAGCGAAATAGAATTCAAAGCAACATGCAATTTATGCTACTCTGGAAAGGCCAAGGGCATCCAACTATAGAACCGGTAGTACTTCATCTAAGTGGTACAGTACAACCAAATACAGTTCTCATTGTAACAAACTTAAGTAAGTTCATATATATTGTAACTATCATTACATGATTACTTTAGTTGAGGATGAAGACAGAAATCATGTACATGTAGTGCATACAGGTAAGATAATGAATTATAACTTGATAATTCCTTATACCAAGAAATTGTCACGTTATATAACAGCTTCTTTAACAAATTGTAAATTATTGCTTTGTTTCATTTTATAGAAAAACAATTAGATACTACAAATTTGAACCAAATCATTTTAGCATTAAAGGATAGTAAGTATGAAGTTGGAACTTGGCACCGTCTCTGCCTTAGTTTGGGTTTGCTCGAAGGAACTTTAAAGGCAATCAAATCTGATGAAAATGATTCTGAGGATTGTCTGAGAACTTGTTTGAACAAATGGTTACAAAGAGCTGATGGTGTAGATGCACCTACATGGACTTCATTGGAAAAAGCTCTCAATAATATTGGCCAAAAGGCAGTAGCTGAAAGTAAGTGTTACCACTTTACCAAATATTGTATTACATGTCATACTTTTAGGTTTGAAAAACAATTGATATACATGCTACATTTAGTTGCTGATAACTACACATAATTTATTTCTTTTTCTTTAATTAGCTTTGTGATCAACATGAACACTACATTACACTACACTACACTATAGCAGTGTAATGTAAATAGTATATATATATATAATATACACATGTACTAGTGTATATAAATAATGTAAATAGTGTATATAGTGTATGTACAATGTATTGTCCCGACACTATACATTACTCCATACCACTGGAAGGTGTGGCTGATCCTGTTTCGTTATACATCCGTAGATCACTATAGAGAAATCCTCCTCCTTCAACAGGTAATATATACAAATGATTTAAAATTGTTTATTTATTTAATATTAATCAGATCCTACTACCTCTTCCTCCTCCACTAATGTAGTACATGAATCAACGTCAGTATCATCCACTGGAGGAGCTAGTAAGTGATAATACTGTGTGTATATACTGACCTTTGACCTCTATTAGGTCCATCAGCTACTGTTGATGTCAATAAAGTAAAGAAAGTGATCAATGATGTTCTTGTATCTCATTATGCTGCTCTCAATTCTCTTAAGACGTCTCTCTCAGATCTTGCCGGTCAGTTATATACAGCTCATCTTATTAGTGATGAAGTCAGAGAGACTCGTAGCATGGAAAAGTTTATAACAGAGTTCAAGGCTAGTCTTAGTTTTATGAGGGAGGTGTCTCAAGTGGAGGAACACTGTCAACAGTTCTTAGGCTCATTTGTTGCTGTAGGAGGCAGTTATGCTAAAGCAGTAAAATTTTTGGGTGAGGACTGGATTAAAGCTATTAAGAATGAACTGAGATTTGATTTTAATATTAATATTGATGCTTAATTTGGATTTTAAATTTTATTTTTGCTTATTATTATTGGTTTTCTAATTTTGTTAATGTTTTAATAATTATTTTTGGGTTTGAGACTAGCCGTGATTTGCCATAGGCATTCTCCTCTTTGTGTTCCTGCAAACTCAGAAAATCAGTTTTAGAGAGGAGTAAACATGTTTGAAAAAGGGGTGGGGCTGGTTTCTGCAAAACAACATAAGGGTGGAGCTCGCGCAGCTGGTTGCTATGGTTACTAGGTTTGGCAGTTTTATCTAGTGCGCATGCTCAAACAGGGATATTTAGACCACACCCTTTTGTTTTGCTGGGAAAATGTCAGGACAAAGTTAGTTTCTTTCCCTCTCTTTTATATTCTTTTCCTTCTATTTTCTTTCCTTTACAGGTATTTATAAGTT